GAGAAAAAACAATAATTTTCAATATTTTGGCTTGTTTAGCAACATTTCGCCGAAAAACATTAAAATTAGATCGAAATTTTTGCCGATTTACGTGAGATTTTAGCAAAATAAGCTGAAAAGTAAACAATGTAGTGTAGGAAAAAAAACTGTTTTATTAGAGAGAGGAATTTGTTGCAATTTACCTTCCGTAAAATAATTTAGTTCTTTATTACATTAAATTTAAAATTACATGGCCACAAAACATATAATTAACTATCAAGTATGCTAAACTAGTCTAATTATACTTCAGGATGAGGAAAAACGTATCTAATCAAATGCGAAAAGAAATTGTTTTTGAAAAATAAACTATATGCACATCAAACACGCTTTTTATCAATTTTACATTCGCATATCTAAGTTTTCGAAAACCTACAACACGGGTGAAAGAAAGAGAAAGATTTTTTTTGTACATTTAAGCTGTCAGAAGCCAACTTTTGTACAAATTCTATGTTATCTACATTAGTTCACACTTCGATTTTCCTCAAACAGAAACAATGCGTGATTTGCAAGCTGGTAAAAAGTAAAAAGACTTTGTACAAAAAGCTTGTTGGTTGTTGAACATGCACTTGTTATCATCTAATTAAGTATTATACAGGGTGTTCCCTCTAAACCCAACATTCAAAGTATTGGGAGTTTAAATAATCATATTTGTTTGAAAATTGCTACACACCCATAATCCATTAAATCCTCTTAAATGAAAATATTTTCAAGATGGTGGCACTTCCGCTTATACCGGAAATCGGTCTCAACTTTCTTATTTTAAATGGAAAGCTATATTTTTTATTGCGTTTTTGGATTATTTGGGTTATTTTAAGGGAGTTTTCATCAGCTTTCCCTATACCTAAATTTAGCCGTTTTTGAAATATTTAGAGTTTTTCAAAAAAATTTGGATTTGCACCTTACACTTTAAAAATCGGTAACTTCAAATTTTGGGAAAAAATTAACAAACCCTAAAATTTTAAGGTTACTTTTGTAATAATCCAAATCCGCAAACTCAATTTTTCCATTATTTTACTAAATTGAAGAGAATTTAAACAGAATGAAAATGGAATTTCTAAAATTCTAGAATTTCAGATTTATTTGGAAATTTTGAACTCTAGCATAAAATAAGCAAAATCAAAAGTTTTAAAGTCAAAATCTTTAAATAAACAAACTTTTAATAAAATTCTGGAACCGCAGAGGTTAAAAAACAGATTCTAAAAATCTCATTTGAAATTAAGAACTAAAAAATTGAAAAATTCAGTGATTTAATTTGAAAATTTCTAGAAAAAAAACCTCTTATTTAAAATATTATAAAAGCTGAAAAATGTGAAAATTAGAAAACAAAGGTTAAAATTTTTCATTTTTTTCAAGTTGGGGAACTAGAAAAAAATAAAAAAGATTAACAAAATAGAAACAAAAAGTTTAAAATGTCTGTTATTTCTATTATTTTTCTCAATTCAGTGTTCCTAAAGTTCAAGATTTCAAAATAAAAATATTGGAATTTTCGAAATTTGATTTTTATTTCTACTCACTCCTGCAGTTCTAGAATTTTTAAAACTAAAAATATCAATTCTTCTAAAATTTGTAATTTTATCTTTCTTATCAAAATAATATATATATTTTCATGCTTGAAAATTGTTGGTTCTAGAAATTTTGAGAGTTAGAAAACTAGAAAAAAAAACTAACAAAATAGAAACACAAAATGTCTAAAAACGCGATTTTTGATTGTTTCGTTTGCGTATTTTACTTTAATTGAGTGAAACAAAAAAAAGAGAAAACTAAAACGTCACCTTTTTCTGTAATTTGAAAGCTGAAAAATGTGTAAATTAAAAACCAAAGATTAAAAATTCTAGAATCGAAAAAGTTAAAAATTAAAAAAAAAACTATAAAGTTAGAAGCAATTGAAAAATCAAAAATTTACGGTTTTGAAAAGTTAAAAATTTATACAATCTT